AAAAAAAAAAAAAAAAAAAAAAAAAAAAAAAAAAAAAATATACCGTCGAATTGAATACCTCCTTCTTTTGGGAAGTCGGTCAAAAATAGACAAACAGCAGTTCTATTGAAAGTCTTACGAATAATAGACTTTTAATTTTCAATTTTACATAGGCTTGTATGGTACTTGTAAAGACATGCACTTAGTATATAGATAAAGTTCTACTTAAGATCACTAAAAATAGTTGCTAATAGATTTATTGCAAGACCACCTTTTGTCACCGACTTTTTTAAAGTAGAGTTAACAAAAACTTAGATTGCCTTTATGTTTTTTTGTTCTTTTATATCTCTGCTGACTTCCATTGACATCCGTTGGGCTGTTTTGGAGATAACTTCTAGCAAACATTCATTCATACATTCACAATTATAATATGAGTACGATTAGATTTTTTCTTAGATTTCTTAGATTTTCACTTGGCGCTTGTCTACTGTTTGATCGTGACATTACTAGGGGCGAGCCGGCCTATTCGTGTAATAATAAAGCGGGCTCCACCATTGTTATAACACGCGTGCGCAGGAGCCTGCTGCTGGGGCTGGCGTGCAACGAGAGCGCGGCGGGCGTGAAGCTGTGCCTGTCGGGCGTGCTGAGCTCCGCGCACGCCGCGCACGTGCTGGAGTCCTGCGTGCACGGCGTGCGCTGTCTGCACGCGCTCGACCTCTCCGACAACAGTCAGTACACGTCCCCCCGTCACCACGCTCACCATACGCTGGCCCACTGCGGGTTGATTGCCAACTTAAACCCCTGATCCATCGACGCTCCTTCGCATACATCAGTGACAGAATTAGGAATGACATAAAGTGTTCAATTCTATTTAAACTATTAACTATTTCAGGTATGGAATACGAATTATCTGGCATTGTGCGAGCTGTTGGAAAAAATCATTCGATAACACATTTGTCGCTGAGCAGATTGACTGGGAAAAGATCATATGCTCCACCTTTAATACAAGTAAGTATACACTAACATAAATAAGTGAGAAACCTCGATAAAAAGAGAATCATTATCCAACCTCGAAAGATAACCACCATAAGAATATAATTACGAGACAAACCTCTAAAAGCGATAAAAATGTTGCATTCTCTTGGACTCTACTTTATCCTGGTTTGATTTCTTATCCACGATACAATGTTTTTGTTTATTCACTTTGTAAAAGAATTTTGGAGAAACCTTTTTTACATGTTATATAAAAGATATTTTCGTTACAGGCTTTGGTGCACGTTCTTCAAGAGCCAGATACAGCGCTAACATCACTGGATCTAAGTGATTGTAAACTAAAGGTATTTCATTATAAATTACATACAAATGACATACATATATAGGTATATTAACGTTATATGCTAGATAGGTAGGATACGTCTATACTAATATAATAAAGCGTAAACGCACACTACTTAGTTATATAACATGTCAACAACCACAATATATTTTTGAATTATAATTTTAAATAACAAGCCCTACACTTCGAGATGCTTAGGCTATATGCTATCACGCTATTAAACTTAAGGAGTAAAAGAAAGGGACAAATACTACAAGTTGACAACATCAAGGCAGCAAGGTTGCCATGGTAACGGTAAATGTTGTCATTTGTGCATTTTTAATTTTAACATTTAACAAATATAAACAATAAAAATAAAGTTTTTTATAATTGCATGCCGATTAAGCCGGACGAGATCAGCTATTCTCTAATATTTTCGATTGCTAAGTCAGCTTACCTTAGTAGCAAAGGTCTAAATGTAAACTCTAAAAAAATCATTCTTTCGTAACACTGCACTACAAATTGTATATAAATTCCGCATAATAACCTCTCTCACGTAATATTTAAAATAACTAAGATAAAGGTTATGTTTAACAATTCAATTTAGATACAGCAATGAGATCGGGATGTGACAAACAGAATTGGTGAAGTGATATTGAAATGATAAATATCTCTATTGTATTTAGATTACAATAAAATACTGTCTGACTCAACGACATTGAATGAATAGCCTGTTTATAAACAATGCGTGCATAGAAATTGTTCATTGTCACAGGAACAGTGTAATTTCAAAAGATTCATGTAATCCGCTCCGATCCGCATTCTCCTCATTCGTGTTTGGGAAACGGTGTCGTGTCAGTGTTGAAGCTAATTATAAAATGTAAATTAAATTAGAATTATTAGTGTTTCGACATCAGTTGTAGTAACAATGTTAACGTGTGATTATGTTGTACGTATTTCGTAATATAAATTTTAAAAAGATTTTTTTTACTTGATTAACGATGCAGTATGCCTGGCGGGTAGTCTATCCCTTTTATTGCAATAAAGTGTCTTATAAATATTGATTTTGAAGTGAAATATAATTCATTTTTTTTTTCAATAAAGTCATAATGCTTTTCTGCATAAATATGTTGACTAACCAACCTACACAAACTTGTATACGCGCCTTCGGTAAAAAATATGTTCGTGTCTCTCTGTATGCTTCCATCAGGAAGTTATTGCCGGATAAGTCCGCTTATGTCATTAAATTTTGCTTATTGTACATTCCATACCTTCATACTAGTATTATAAATGCGAAAGTGTAGGTAGATGGGTGGATGGATGTTTGTTAGAGTTTGTAGCTTAGACGGCTTAATGAATTTCGATGAAATTTGGTAAATATGTAGTAGAGGATAGTCTGGAAGAACGCATAGGCGGTTTTATTTTGTTTATTTTTAAATCTACTCGGACAGAGTCGCAGGTGATAGCTAGTATGTAATATTTATAGGTTGTGAGGTGTTTGTAAGAGGGTGGTGTGTATCGCAGGGCGACCTGTACGGGCTGCTGAACGCGCTGGGCGGCGCGCGGCGGCTGCGCACGCTGGACGTGGGCGGCAACG